CCTGGAGTAGAAGATAGAGATGGTAGCGATAAAGCTCCTGCCGGAGATTCAGTAAGAGCAGGTGAAGATGGAGATGGTGGTGGTGGTTCAGGCACTGGTGATGAGGATAGTGACGGTGGCTGTTCGGGTACTGGCGATGACGACTGTGGCAGTAGCGGTGGTGGTGGTAATGGTGGTGGTGGTAGTGGTACCGGTGGTGGCGGTTCAGATGCTAATGATGGAGTTGGTGGCAATGGCGATAGAGAAAGGGATGCGGGAGGTGGGAGTGATGATTCAGCAGGTGCTGACGGTTCTTCGAATTTTTTTGGTGCAGTCTGCAGAAAAAAATTTTAAGTTACAATTGAGCAAAAGCGAAAGAGCAATGTCGTTGCTATTATTAAATGGATATTTGGAAAGCACCAGAGCTGTAGAGAGAAGTTGACCAAGCAAGCGGTTAATTGAAAATAAACGTGTGTTTGTTAAGTAAGGAAAGAAGTGAAATCAGTTGTGTAGCTACCTTTTCTATCCCAGCGGTAGATTGTATGACACTCTCTGACTTGGTCGCATCAACCTCATGTCGAAGCTGAAATAATTCAAATTTAGAAGTTAACACTTATCTCCAGAATATTGATATTTGCCTTCTGAAAGAAGTTCAGAGAGCTCATGAACTAATAATTAGAATAAGCGGTTATTAATAATACGATAACAGATTATAACTTCGTTTTGCGAAGTACTGTCATTCACCTCTCGAATATGATCTGCATTAGGATACATTCTTAAAAGAGGATAAATGAGTCAAACTAAACCATTTAATTGTAAATTTAACTGAGTCAAAATGAATCTAATGGTTAGATTGGCTATCATACTATCTTACCATACACTATCTAGCTTTTTAGCGAAGTTTCAATCATATTATTTAGAAATTGTCTGCCACTGCCGTTATTCAAAGAAACCAGTGATATAACTTAAAACAGAAATCTAAATGAAAAAAAAAAATACTAAGATGTGCCTAGTCATCTAGGATTAGAATCTAATTAATTGAAGCGAGCTTAATAAAACGAAGGACAATTTACTGGGCCTACCTTGGCAAAATTGAGATACGCGAAAGCCGCAATAAGTAGCAGAACAAAAATTGCAATCACTGACATTTCGATATGAACAATTATTACAAATAACTGTATTATCTATTAAAAGTGCGTAGAATAACTGAGATAGGTCTCTCTGAACCATATTTATAGGCTAATTGCTAATTCCGGAATGCAAGCTTTTGATGTTTCCCTGCAAATATTCAAATTTTGCTTCGTCCACAAATTGTTACTTCCACAATAACACTAATTTTTTATCAGTGGGTCTATTAGAGCAGTTTTAAATCTGTTTGATGTCATGCTATGCATTGAACATCGTTTTCCTCTCTGTTTACTTATCAGATGTTCACTTTCAGAAGTCATTCGTGGGGTTTCACTCCCAAGCTTGCATCCTTCAACTTTCTCTTCAACGGGAAATCATCTTTTGGTAATAAAACAATTAACTCCTATGTTTATGGCTGTTCCGGAAGACTCCTCATCCGGTTGGCCATCTTTTGCCGTCTCAGTGGGAAATTAATTCGCTCCCTACCGAGACTTCTGATGCATTTCCAAAAATAATTTAATGTGATATGAAATCCTTCAACATCAATTTTAAGAAAAATGCCAGTAGACATAGAAATAGTGTAGTACTGATGGAGAGACAGGTATAGGAGAGTGGAGAAAGGGAGCTATGATGGAGGAGGGATGCGCGGGATTTTTCTCGGAAGTCCCTTTGCTCCTTCAAGTATGAAGTAATGTGTCGGCTTCCAAGGGTCAGTTTGGTTCTTTTGGGGTTTTCTGGTTGAGAATGTAGTTATTTTGTTCAAATTACAATTTTTGTATCATCTAGCTTCTCTTCATGCTCACAAACATTCGAGTCGACTTCACTGTTTGCTTAACAATTTCATCTGATCTATTATTCGTGGTTCTATTATTGGTTAGTACTGTTTGAAGCGGAAGTCATGATATTGCTGCTGAAATAGACATATCCTTCATTTTTGTCAGGTCGATGACAACACCATCATCAGGCGCTTATCTGAATCCATTCACAAACGCTAATTTTTATGGAAATCCTTATTCGATAGATCTACCACATCAGAGCCAACCGTTTGGCGAGGATGTGTCATCGAACGTGATCATAGATGTGGTATTTTTGATTCAGTTCTTAATCCTTTGTAGAATTAAACATATCTATTGACAGGAAATTTTCGGAATGTAATTTAAATCGTCTATATGATATTTTTGTCTGATGTGAAATATTGTGTAGAGGATTAGGAATCATATTGTTTCAATTCTCCAGGAATAGACTGATTTTTAGGAGGGATCTATTAGTTGCAGTAGAAGTAATGGAATCTTATCTGTAGTACTGCTTTAGACAAAGTTTATTTAGTGGTGGCGAAATATTTGGTCCATGGCAGGAAGGAGCATACGCATTTCTAGCTTCCTAGCTGTACTTATTCCCTCATACTATATTTGCTTCATGTCCTCTTATCTGTAACTTCATTTTTAGGTCGGAATGGAGATTAATGAAGAGAACAGAACAGGATTCGAACAGAATTGCTCAGATGTTCAAATTGAAATTTTAAAAAATAAATCTCGAAAACGTCGTTCACTTTGCAATGTAGGCCTTCTTTGGAAAAAATATATCTATATTTATTTGTTTTTAATTAATTTCTTAATTAATTTTAATTTGTTTAATCGATTTGGTTAATTTATTTATTTCTATTTATCACTTGTTTATTCATTTATTCGTTTATTATATTTATCGATCTATTCATTATTTATTTGTTTATTTATCTAATCAATTTATTTAGTTTATTTATTTATTTAATTTATTATTGGTCATAGCTGAATTCATTAACTTTCTATGAAGGTATCATTTCTCACCACACAGTTTCAGTTTGAAATACTTAATTCATCTCATGTTTACGTATATAGTGTTGTAAAATAAGAGTTTTTATATCCACAGTGATGATAAAGCATTCAGTAGAGAAGGAAGCACCAATGAAATGATACGTAAAGGTTAACAATTGTAGAATGAGGAGCCACTATGTAAACGAAGAATGGAAAAAGTTAGCGTTCGTTTGGAAAATTTCCACATATCAAATGATTCATGTTCATCAGTGGTGGATTCTAAGGATAGGTACATATTTTTTATTGTAATTTTTCTTCTATGATATGGCGCTGCACTGTTCATACACATTTTTCAAAACTTTCCCCAAAGGTTACTGTCTTCTTTCCACATGGGCTTTGTTTTTTATCGCCTTCAGAAATTGTTCCCAGCATACCATTGATGTTCTTGGAATAAAACCTACTTTTTAGACAATATCTGCTATTTGTTCATGATTTAGTGACTCGGAAGGTGAGGAAGACATCGAGAAAGATGATGCACTGTTGATTCTAGACGAGAGGCTACGGAAGTATATTGAACATGAGCTTAAAGCTCCACCTATTATTATTAGCAAGTGCGTTTTTCATTTATTCTGCCATTCATTTTGCTAAGTTTCATTTTTTATAAAACAAGCGCATTATATTTTGGTCTTGTTCTTATCGGTATGACCAAGTATTTATTTTTTGTTTTTACTCTCAGCGTCGTATGAATTTTACACATTAGATTTTACATGTACCGACTTATGTCTTACTATCTTATGGTTTTTCACTTCATTTTTACTTCATCTCTAAGTGATTGAATGTAGTTTTTCATTTGGATTTAGAAGTCTTCACTAGGAAATGTATATGACTAATTCTGACGAAGACTTCGAAATGACTAAATTTTCACACTTGTCTTTTTTTTAAGTCATGCTTCAAAAACTTGAGAACCCTTAAACTTTCAGTCTACTTTTTCAGTCCTTTATCGATGGCTTTAGTACCTTATGTGCCACCTATTTCGTATGATAATCCAACAATGATTGGACGAATCAAAGAAATTGATACTCAAGATGCAGTAGGATACGTATCTAATGATAATGGTAAAAATTAATTTTCGAATTTTCAGTAAGGAATTTTTGAATATTAACGAGAAATATTGCTTTTGGTATGCATACTGTTTTTCTTTCTAGGTTTTGTTACTTTCCCGGATGATCCGCACACGGTAGAGTCGGAGAATTGCTCTAATGAGATGATTAGCATTAAATTGCCGTCTTCTATAATGAGTGCCACAGAAATAGACTCCTGTATACAAGATGATGCCATTATGGAAATCGATAATTTATAGATGGATTGTTTTCTGTTTTTGCTGTTCACATTTGCCTCAAATTAGGCGATTTTGTTGATATACAACGATGCACTTTTTAGTTTTTCTTTCAGTCCTGTCTATTTATGTTGTCTGGATTTTTAATCGAATTGAGTCGTTATGAAAAGTTTTCCCTCATTAACAGATAGAAAAAATTTTGCTCTCACAACGCTATAACGGAGGGCAAATTTTAAAGATCAAGGGTTAGGATTTAATGCTAGATTTATTTCACTTTATGATAATTTGAAGTGGCATCGTTTTTAGAAAGTTACTTAACGCTTTGTTCGCATTTTTTTTTTTTTTTTTTTGGATAATTTTATTCGCTTTTCTGCTGATTTCGTTTGTTTTCTTTTTAAATTATGGGAAATTGTTTATGCCGGTATGAACTTTGTGGCCTTTTTCATTTTCAATTTACTGTCACAGTAGTATAAAAACTTCACATTGAAGAAAAAGAAAAACAAAAAACGAACATATGCATTTCTATTTCTTTCCTTAGTCGATTTAAAAGAACTGGCTTCAATTGTATCTTTCAATTGTATAACTTGATACACATATCGTTGGCATGATTGTTCACTCTTTCATTTCTTACAACATACTTGATATGACATGTGTAAGTTGTGTGGACTTGCTTGTCGGAGTTTCGCGTTAACTAAGCAGATTTTAAATTTATCAAGAATTATGTTCAGGACTGTACTAGTCCTAATTTTTATGAATTCAGAATCTTAATGTTATTCTGGAAAATCATTTTTTGCGAAATTTTGCATGCACGAATCAGTTGTCCAAATTTGTTATGGAAGGTGAAATATTTACATACGTCTTTTGATTTGAGGCGAAAATGCTATTTTGGAGCACTGGAATTCGATTTTCGATTCATTGCAACCAATCAGTCTTTTCCTAGCTGTCAGGGAATTGCTGTATTTATTAATTAATATATATTTTAGGCAAAATAATGTAGTTGCTGAGAATTTGCTTCTCATCTTAATGTAAATTTACGTAAACCGGTAGCTTTCATATGATGTATTACATCTTCATTTTAATAGAGTCATTCCTGGGTTTTATATTGTGCAAGACTTGTTTCGAGGGTTTTGAAGGTTATTTTTGATTTCATAGTAGATAAGGTCAAGAAATGGTTGATGTTAATCAGGATCAATCGAAGATAATATGTCGTGTGAGAATTATGGGTTAAATGAAGCTGAGACTATAAACAGTTGTGGTCAAAGTTTCATTCTCTTTTTCTTGTTGCTCTTAAAGACTGAGAAAAGCTAATAGGATAGTACAACAAATTTATTATAGAATTCTCACCCAATTGCCCTTTAAATTTCAGTTTGTTTTCTCCAAAATTATTGCGTTGAAAAATTTTGGGAGCAATGAAAAGCTGCGAAGTGAGGGATTCAGTTGAAAATTTTTAATTTCCCATTTTTTAAAATTTCTAAAAATTAGAAAACGTTTTTCTCTGGGAAAAGTGATCTTCCTATCAGGAAACTTGTTGAATGTTTACAAAAACTGTATGCCTCTCCAGGAAATATTTCGGATGAGCAAGTGGAAATTTAAAGGTCTATTTAAATACTTTGGTCTCTAGGTGATTTGTTTCTTTTACTCTATTTAGTTTTACTCTATTTCGCTGGGGAAAGATAAGGTGACATTGTTTCGCTTTGGTAAAGAAATATCAGTCATGAATTCATTTCACGTTTTCAGCAAGCGAAAGAAAGCAGTAATGGCAGCAGTAGTGGTGACTTCTAGCTTGTCGAAGGCTTCTAATTTTTGGCATTTTTCTAACTGCTTTCTAATTTCAGTAACATCAACATCAATCAGTGATTGTGTCACCGTCTCCAAGATGAACTGAATCGAATCTTTTGGGATATTTGTATGGCTATCGTCATTACTACTTGAGAAGTTGCCGTGAAGTTGAATCCAGCAATACGTAAGCCGGATTTATAAAATACTCTAAAGAGGTTTTGGTATCTCTCAACCGTGTTGATAAGCATCTGCTTATTTCTTCAGTAATACTTTATAAAATGAATATATACAATAGGCTGTAGTACGCAAGATAAGATTGATTTTCTTGTATTTAGAAATTTCAAATTAGGCTTTTTCTCAGCAAGCAGTTAGCCTTATACTGTCCGGAAGGGCACGAATTATTTCACATAGTTGAAGTAATTACATGATATGCAAATAAACAGCAATTGTGAAAATAAATACAGAAAGCAATGATGTTTTATTCAGTTGTAATTAATTACTAAGTCACTTCGATCTGAAGACAACATCCAAGTTGGAACATTTTACCGCGCCTCTAACATTTCATAACACATTGGCCTTTATTTGATAGTATTTATTTGAGTAGCAATTTCTTTTTTTTTTTTTTGATAGTGAAATAAGAATCTTACTTGGAGGTGGATTACTGAATTTGCAGAACCAACTGAGAATTTGCAAACTTAAGAATTAGTTACAAATAATAAAGGATACGTTGAAATGCTAATTTGTTGTAGAAATTTTCGTGTTTTAAGAAATGGTAGTAAATGGTTGTGGTTTTGGTTGTCCAGGTATGATAATGAAAAAGATCATAATCTATTAATAATGGATTTATTGGGTCCATCTCATGATCCAATTCAGTTGTAATCGTCGATTCACGCTGAACATCTTTTTGATGCTGGCTGATCAAATTACAGGGTATGTTCACTAATTCACTGAGGACGTATTTAACATATGATTTGTTTATAAATTCTTCTATATTATTCTATGTATGACCACACTTTTTTAAAGTTAGATCAATAACCTTATACCAGTTTATTGTTTGATGGTTCAGATTATCATAAATGTCGGATATTCAGATATGTGAATTTTTTAACCAAAAAATTCTAATATATGTAGTCACCGTGATCTGGCTTCACTTTGATAATCATTACACAGAGGGCGGATGTCTATCTGTGTATATGTTAAATTCATGCACAGTAAGTGTATAAGAAACATATTTTTATTGTTTGTTTGCATTTCATATTTCAAAAAATGATATGACGAGTTAATTATATTTTTCGATAAGAAACGCCATTCTCAAATTGGGCAGTCAATTCAGGCAACATTGAAATTGAAAACTGCATTAGCTCAAATGAAAAAGTAGCATTCTAACTGTCATTTTAGTTTAATCCTGAATTCTATGGAAATAGAATATAAGTGAAAAGAGATTATAAATCCTCATGTAGTAAGTGATATTAGGTATCGGTTTCTCAAACTTCCCAGTTTATTGAGATTCGTATAAGTTTTTAGTTGTTAATTAATCTTTCGCAACAAACTACCTTTTGGAAGAATTATCAACTGCAGTTGTTGATCGGTTTTTGGTAATATATTGTATTATCTTTTTCTATGTTCATAATATATTGTATTATCTTTTTCCAGATCGTTTCTTTTTGTTCATCACTTTGTGCGATCAGAAGGTGGATGTGATTTTGTTTTTATTTTACCGTTTATTGTATTCATTTTGAAGTGCTTGCTTTCAAAATATGTCGCATTTTATCAACCTTTGACCCTAGGTCCTGCCTGTATCACTCTAGATAATCTCTTTCCGGAATTCCGGCTTCAAATAAACCGGAGTTATGTACGAATGTATTCTGTTAGTAACTTTTCATAAACGAAATCAAAAATTACTAGTGTGTTCTGTTTGAATGAATAATTTCACTACTCCTCCGTTAGTCATTTATTTGATTCAAACTTCATGACTACTTTCCTTCGTAAAGAACATGTTTGTGAAAAGGAAGAAAATGAGAAAATTTCTTTGTGCGTTACTTCCTTGTAGTCATCCTTCCTTGGACTGAACTGAAATATAAAATCTGTCACAGACAAAATGGAAGGTCTTCATGATAGACTAAACAACATCAAAGCATAGCTGAAATTATTGCTTACATCTGATAAAGCAGTTACAAATTTTTAATATCTACGAGGAGGAGACTATACTGAATTGATAGATGTTATTCTGAGAACGATTCCTTGATGATATCGTAGGCTTACACTGCTTGTCTCCTCATGATCCATTGGGGACCGTAGGATGGATAAGAATGATTTGTAAGGAACAAAAACCTCATCGTTTAGCATCTCTCGGCAGAGTTATAAAAGTTTGGGTTTGTTCAACTCCAGAGTAAAGTGCAGTGTAAAGTGGCAGAGAGCGGTTGACATCTGCTACAAGCACAGAAGAGTTGAGGAATAATTAAAGTTACGCTCTCAATTTCAGTCGAAGGATAAACTCAAGTATCACTGTGAATCTAGTTAGCACAATCTAGATGCCTCAATCTTTCTGCAATTCTTTTGGTAGTACGATAAAATGACAGAAATGCAGAAGGTGCAATCCCGCTACAATTAAGCTGCAAAGAGAGATTTAGGTATCCGAGCGGGAGAGATATAGCGCCAGTAAACCTAGACGAGCTTCCCTCTCCCGAAACATCGCGATACCTCTCTTGTTTTTTGACTCGTTGCATGCTACGCTGCGTTGCGGTTGCGTTGCGCGTTGTTGAGTTGTGGATGCGGTTGGTTTGGTTGTGCTATAGTTTGGGATTTACCAAGAGATTAAAAGAATAAGTGGGGAATAAGTGGTAAAAGAATAACGGAGCAGTATTGTGATTTGATGGGTAATGTGAGCTATAATGTGTCAAAGAAGTAATTTAGAATTGAAAGATACCTTAGTTGTACAACTTTAATTCTCCCTTTTCACGGGTGCTTTACAGTAAAAAATGTTTGATTTGTTGGGCATCTTTCTCCAAATGAAACTATGTAATAATATTAGTAGAAGAGGATTGCTTTTCATGGCTTTATAAGTGAGATTAATAAGCTTCGTAACTTCCGTTATTTTGATCGTTTATAAATTGTGAGAGGAAAGAGAACAGATGAAACAGAATGGTTTGATAGATGATATGAAAATTTTTTGCTGTGAAGTATATAAGTAAACATGCTCCTATATTTAATACATAAAGGTAATGGCCATCATAGCAATACTTGAAAAGTTCTTCCAGTCTTTAATACGGAAGGGGATAGACCACGGTCTCTTTTACCTGACACTTTTAACTGCCATTTCTTTTTGCAATGTATAATGTAAAATAAGGGTATCTCACTTTTGGCTAGGAATTCGCACAGATGTATTAAGGTATACGAATGGATGATGTTTTTTCTTGAGAATAAAATGGAGTTGAAATTAGAAGTCTAAGTTGCAGCTGAGATAACTGTATTTACTTGTCAACTTGTCCTTTTATTAGGTCAAATAAAATTATTTAAAGCTTAAACCCTTTATTGTCTTACTAGGTTTTGCTAGATTTTGGTGAGATCTTAATTTTTTTTGTTTTGGTGCAAAATTCTGCTGAAAAGTATCCAGATTTGGTCAAAAGCTTGAAGTCTATATTATTTCAGGCCCGAAAATGGCGGGCGTTGCTACCAATTCCCGTGATTTTATTGTTGCAACAAAATATAAACTAATTCGTAAAATAGGTTCTGGTTCATTTGGTGACATATATCTGGCTATAAATATCACAAATGGTGAAGAAGTTGCTGTTAAAATGGAGTCCAGCAAGGTTGTTTAAGATCATTTGTACTAAGGTAAATATTGCATAGAAGAACAGTTATATCTATCAAAAAAAAAAGTAAGTCTGAGAGACAAATTTCTGGAATTTCAAGAATTTAAAAAAAAAAGCAATTTTCAGGCACGCCATCCACAGCTGCTTTATGAGAGCAAAGTATACAAAATTCTGCAGGGTGGAGTTGGTATACCGCACATACGATGGTAAGCTCTTTGATGTTTATTATAATCATATCCGAAATATGTATAAGTACGTATATTTAAGCATGACGACAAAAGAAATGAACATTTTTTCCTCAAGTTACATAAATATTCAGTACTGCAAAAATGATTTGACTGAAAATTACAGTGATGTTAATGAATCAGCTAGTTCGAGACTGGTTACATCGAGATGTCAAGAGATGTTTGAGTGAAAACCATTTGCTAGTTCAGAACTTTATTTTTAGAAAATGTTATCCTTTTGGAAAATGTTTCTATGAATAATTTCTTAGGTATGGTACGGAACGCGAATACAATGTCTTGGTGATGGACTTATTAGGTCCTTCATTAGAGGATCTATTCAATTTTTGCAGTCGTCGTTTTACAATGAAGACCGTGCTAATGCTAGCAGATCAAATGATTGGACGCATTGAATATGTTCACGTTAAAAACTTTATTCATAGAGACATCAAGGCAAGATTCGATTGATTTTGGAAGTTCTGCTTTTTACGGTAGATTTCTTTCAGTGAGCAGTGATTGCTAAAGAACAGTAACATCTTTTGGGTCTATTTGTTAACAATATTCTGGTTAAGTTAAAATGTTGCAAGATATTTTGGTTGTAACAAATAATTGTTGACTTAAAATATATACCATCGTGAACTGTTGTGTTGTTTCAGAAGGAAATCCACATAAGCAGCTAATACCTCTCAGTCATTATATTTGAGAGTTATAAATAGCTTTGATTTGTGTTTTTTCAGCCTGATAATTTTATGATGGGTATAGGACGACACTGCAATAAATTATTTTTGATTGATTTCGGTTTGGCTAAAAAATATCGTGACTCACGTACGCGAGCTCACATCCCGTATCGGGAAGATAAGGTATGTGTAGAATTATAACTACCGAAAATATTTTTTGACTGAAGTTTCATTGCTCTGTTATATTTCTGTCTAAAATGGAAATAGATTTAGAATTTGACGGGAACAGCTCGATATGCATCAATCAACGCACATCTGGGTATTGAGCAGTCACGACGAGATGATATGGAATCACTCGGATATGTTTTAATGTACTTCAACAAGTTAGTTAAAGTTCAAATTTATATGTCATTTCTGTGGATGCTGAATGTTGTTAAAAATAGTTGTTGAAATCTGAAGCATTAAAACGATTTTTTAGGGGAACACTTCCATGGCAAGGTCTAAAAGCTGCAACAAAGAAACAAAAATATGAGAAAATCAGCGAAAAGAAAATGTCCACACCTGTTGAGGTAAGCATATAATGGTTATGTGCTAGGCAAGTTATGTAGTTTCACATTATCTTCGCGATTTTAGCATTCTTATCTTCAAGCAGTGAATTAACTGGATATTTTAACTATTACAGGTGTTGTGCAAAGGATTTCCGGCAGAATTTGCTATGTATTTAAATTACACTCGCGGTCTGCGATTCGATGAAGCACCCGATTACATGTATTTGCGGCAGTTGTTTCGTATTCTGTTTAGAACTTTGAATCATCAGGTAGTTGAATAGTGGAGTAATTTTTTCTAGACTGTGTTCGTTGAAATTTTTCCTGCTTAAAAGTGTAACCTACATTCGATTAGGGTGGGAAAAGGATTCTGTCCCTTCAGTCTTCGCTTTTTCCGAAGAATGAATTATTTTTGCCTGAATTACCAAAATCGAATGTAGAGTGCCACTATTTTTAGTATGATTATACATTTGATTGGACAATGCTGAAACAGAAAGCGGCGCAGCATACAGCGGCAGCACTTGCTTTGGCTGGTTCGGGACAAGGTGGTGCGCAATCGGGCACTGCTCCAGGTGTATGAGAGAAGTCGTACTAATTGATAAAAGCACCATAATTATTGTGGATGTTCAAATACTGATTGAAAAGTGTTTTTACAAAGTTTTATCTAAATTTCCCTCCGAAATCTTATCATTTTCTTTCTTGATTTTTCGCACAACGTAGAATGTAGTAGGGTAACATCCGATGATTTTGTAAAGATGTTAGTCCTTTAGTAATTTTGAAGACACATGACTAAGTATTTTCAAAAAAGTAAAACTGCTTTGCAAACTTGATTTTCTGAGTGTGGGATTTTCAGATTTTTGTTGATTTATTGAGAGAGTGCTTCAACCGATATGAAAACTTTTTAAGAGTAGGTACTTTGTTTCGACACTTAAGTTCATTTTCTGCTTAATAAGAAAGTAACTTTTTCAAGTAAGCTGCAAGTTTTAAGTACACATACAATGCGGCGGCTAGTTTAAGTAACAAATTTTTTTTGTGACAAAAATCGAATTTAATTTTGTCCAAAAAAAAAAACCTAGAGAATATCTTAATTATGTACAGAACGTATATGCTTCCATTGTGTAACCAGTTTCAAAAAATGTCTTGTTTTTTCCAGATTTTGTTGACCGAGAAAGGAGAATATGAAGTCCTTTCGTAGTCAACTGAAGTGGTAGGAAATTAGCATTACTGTTCTCTATGCAGGAGAATTCATATTTTTTGTTCAAAAAACAAAGATAATTCATTTAGCATATATGTTATGGTTGGATAAATGCCACCACCTATTTCTTTTCTTTTTTTTTTTTTTTTTTTTTCCATCGGATGTTACGTTTCATTATGTGAAGAGTTAATTGATTTATAAAGAAATGAAATACAAATCATTCTCACACTAAACACAGGCAATGTTATTTAATACATTTTAATCGTATGTGAGATTGGTGTTGAGGTAGTTATGTATTCAGTGGTTAGGAATCTAGGCTAGCATAGAATGTGACGAAATAATAACAATTAATAGTGTTGGGACATTTTGTAATGTTTGCAACTTATCTCACGCAACTTGTGAAATTGCACAGCGGTCTGGACTGTGTAATTTGTTCAGTCTCAGAGTGTTGGTATAACGACTGTTTAAGAAGTCATTATGTCGTTCAAGAGAAATCAGCGGGGCCAATATTTCTGTATAGAATGGTAGGAAGCAAGTTATCGTTATTTAGAAAACGTGGGAACAAATAACGAGTGAGTTCCCATTGCAGCAGAATGCGTTGATGTGTAAATTGCGATTATAGTAGAAATGACTTATTTCACTTTCGAATTTTACAAATTGTACTAATTGTTGAGATAATTTTTTTGTGGTTTCGTTTATCCTTCATTGCGTATGGATTAGTCATGTTGAATTTCAAAGTATTAAGTCGAAAAAATTCAGTTACACATTTTCAGTTCTTAAATCTACTGATCTCTAATGGAATCCGAAGTCATCCGAAGGAATGATAGTTTTTATTCACATTACGGACAGTGTCGTATATTGAATGAACAAAGATCTAAAAAAATCTTCACAGCCATACGCCGTTCTGATGGCCGCTACGTAGCCTTGAAAGTGGAAGAAATTCCCAATAGGGAAATTGAAGCAGCAAGCCAGGTATTTCATAGCATTCAGCTTTGGTTCACGTTTAAAATAAAATATGTTTGGAAGAAACAACTCACTATTTAATCTTCAATATTGCATGAATGAGTTTCAAATAACTGGAAAAAAACGGGTCAACTTGGCAGTCTTCAAACGGTCTTATTTTGAACAAAGCTATCATAATAGTGATTAGAAAGTAATAATTTGATTAAAAAGTAATAAATGGATAAAATGAGTAGTTACTAAAACTATCATCCTGATATTTGACAGTTTCGTTTCATACTTCTTTTATATTATTCCATTTTCACCAAGCAGGAATATGTTTGACACATATAATCGCACAGATGGTAATTTTAAAATGATAGATATGTGATAAAATAATGCTGTATTAATTTTGTTCAGTTATGTAAGACCACCTGGTAATTACGAAATAATTCATGATAACTTTTTATTTCGTGACAAAAACTCTAACAGAGTATTTAAAAAGATAATATTGAGTTAGTCCTGATAATTAGTTTTATTATATTCAAATTTCTGCTTGAGGTATGTTTCAGATATCGTTATAGCCATGTCACTAGTTATAAATTTCGAAAAAATAGTGGTTATGCCTCAATTGGCAAGGATCACTAATATTCCTCACTAGCACTGAAAAGTAGTAATGGTGATATTACTATTATTGCATTTAAAACAAGTTTTTAATATATTTAGTTTTTATTTGGCTTTGAAAAACATACTTTCTCGATTTGGCGCTTCACAGACTAAGGATTTATTTTCAGAGCTGTATAGGATTTTTATAAAATTGATTTAATTTGTAGAACATTTAAGTAGAAACTATTCTCAAGTTTGATACTGCCTTATTTCTTAGTACCGTAACTTCAATATCTGAATACTTTCAAGCTATCTATAAATACGGTTGGTGCTTTAGTGATGTTTGGCTGTTCAACTGTTTATGTCTTGCCTATATCTCTTTCATATTATGAAGTATTGAAATTTTCAGTTCATTTATGTTTTCCTAATTAGTAGTTGTGAAATTGATATCTTTAAATGCTCTGGTGATACTTTTTAATAGAACGTTAATGACTTAATAGTTAATGATTGAAAATATTTCGAGTGCCGTCATTATCAATTACATTGTGAACTTAATTACAAATATGGTATTTTACTGCTATTATAAAATTCGTATAAATAATTAAATAGTAATGTCATGAGATACTTTGTCGAACTATTGAATGCAAATATTGATCTAGAATTTTGATCAGTAAAGGTATGAACTAGAACATAGGACTGCTTTATCTACTCTTGTTCCTACTTGGAATTTATGCTTTTTTGTTTTCTGCTCGAAAACAAATGATTGATCTTCTCCTGTTAGATTGCTAGTTAAGCTACTTAATTTTATCATTTACATTTTGTAAAAACTTCTGAAAGGTTATTAGGTGTTCACTCGTAAATTCTACGTTATTTTTGCTTCAGTTTTTTTCGCATCATATTATTTTTACATGCTTGTTTTTTCATATTACTGCAGCATAAGAAAAGAAAAAAGAATAATTTAAAACACGAGCATGCTGTTTACAGAAGTCTTCATGGAAGAGGAGTACCACACGTTCATTGGTAGGTTTTCAATTTAAATTGGTTTTAAGCTAAAAATGTAAATATGTTACTATAACTTCGCATTCAAGAGATCTACTTTTAAGTGCTTTAATGTCTCTATATGTAAAATATATTTCATGTTTTCAAATTATGGCGAATCATTTTTTCCTTATCATAGAGATAACTGTTTATTTCAAGTGATTTTCATAACCTTTTCGGGCAGTCTGTTAGCGAAGAACTATTTTATATGTGTCACAAAAGTCCTTACTTCATCTCCATTATCGTTTTGAGCAATCTCTATGCCTGTAAGCCTTCACGTACCATGCATGGTATTAGTGAAGTTACTATCAATCATCATTTTGTCATCTTCGTATGTTATCAAAAGATGCTTAATGTATATTGTAATAATGACTTGAAGTTTCATTGTTGAAATAGACGAGAAGTATGCATCAAAGACATTAAGTGGTACATAATGGAAGTAAGTAATATAGATACAATTAGTTTCCGTCCATGTTGGTGGGGGTTGAATCAAGTATGAAATAGATCTGGGTGGGTTAGTAAGAACTGTTTTTTTAGGTTTGGAATAGTTAATAGATACAAAGCAATGGTTATGGATCTTACTGGTCCTTCACTGGAAGAGCTTTTTATCTATTGCAAGCGACGATTTAGTTTGAAAACAGTTCTAATGCTTGCTGATCAAATGTTGGATCGAATACAGAGTGTCCATGATGCGGATTATGTTCATCGCGATCTGACGATATGACTTTTTCAATTTCAATTTATTTTTTATTTTACATCCTTTGTTGTGAGACACCTTTTTGAAAAATAGAAGTGCTTTTTTACTTGTTGTAAAGTAACAACCAAAGTAGTTTGTTACTGCTATCATTAAAAACGACTGATGAACCATGCAGTTTGTTGATTCAGTGGTTCTCGTATACTTTTTAGTTCAGCTCAATTTAGTTATACTTCCAGTCATGGTTATTTAGTTCCTTCTCGATAATACTCAAGATAAATGTAATAGCTTTTTCAGTCAGATGCTTTTGTGATGGGTATCGAAGAGAATTTCTCTAAAGTTTACTTAATAAATATGAAGTTGGCATCAAAATATATTAAAATCTCTGATGGATATCGCAAACATATTCCGTATAAGGAAGATATAGTAAGTTAATAGTTATAGCATCTGTTGTAAAATTTTTGAACATCGCAAAAGAAACTCAAATGTCATTTGATTTATAGAATTTCGATAAAATTATACATAATTTCAGGACTTTTTTGGTTCACCTTGCTTTGCATCTCTTAACAGACATTTGGGCACAATTGCATCTAGACGGGATGATCTAGAATCTTATGTATATATACTTTTATATTTTCTTAAGTAAGTTAGTCCATGAATTCGTAGTTTTCTTAATTTTTGTTTCTTTTTTTCATACGAAGCATTTTCAGAGGGAATTTACCTTGGCAGATGTATTATGAACTTGAAAAGATTCTGGAAATCAAGATATCGATTTCAACAGAGGTAGTGTTGAAATACCGAGCTGAAATTTGCATTTGCTTAAACTTTAGTTAAGATTTATTCTGTAAAATCCCATGATGTCGCTTTCTGACAATGCTATTGACAAATTATTCAACTTATACCAGTTCTGATTCACCAAGCTGACACAGCTTTAATCAATTATCTATAATAAAGAAGAATTATTTTCACAATGTCCGATTATTTGTTTGAGTCGAATTAAAAAGCATTTCGATTATCTCTAATTTTATTCATTGCAGATTCTTTGTCATGGATTACCTACTCAATTCGCAACCGTACTCAATTATTGTCGCACTCTAAGATTTGACGATAAACCTGATTATTTGTTTATTCGGCATCTCTTTCGTGATTTATTCAAATCCTTGGCCTATAAAGTACCGCTTGAAGTTTAAGATTTAAAAGATTGACACTGTAAGGAAATTATGGAAAAGCTGGGAATTCTAAACAGAAATCCTTCAATATTTATTAGATAAAAAATGAATTCGAATAAATGTTGGTATACATCAGTAGCCATCAGTTTTTTTCCAGGAAGATTGGAATTTTGATTGGATGTCGCGTTACTACGCAAAGCGGCACTAGACAAAGTGCTTGAATCTTGAAGAACAAGATTGGAATCGGTTGTTATTAATCCACTTCATCTGCTCGAGATTTTTATTTCTTTAATTTTTATATAAGAACAAAATGCATATTTGTCCAATAAATATATGACTAAGTCCATTGCATCGGAAACATATACTTTTATATTAGTTGAAACAATATTTAGCTAGACAACTGTCTTCCGTCAGCAGATAAATTTGCAGTTTCCATGTGTCGAACCGTTCTTGAGCTCTTGTTGATTTCTGGAATATATTGAGAATTCTTGATAGAATTTCTTGATATCATTTAGTTTAGATCTAAAATTGAATTTCTTTTTAATTTTGTTATAGTTTTTTCAAATTAAAATTTACACTGAACGCAGTAGTTCTCTTTCAAAGTTTTGTGAGATCAGAAGATATTTACGGAAAGAGTTCTCAAAGCGTGTGACGTATTAATTATGAAATTTAAACATATCTTTAGCCTGTTATCTCAAAATGTAATGTTAGACTTGTCACTTCTCGAAATCCTTTCGACTATAATACGTCACTAGTGTATTCTCCTACAATTATCCAAAAAAGTAAAACATACTAGTTTCTCGGGCATTGTCAAAATCCATAATTTACTAATATGACAATTCAAATTCCTTTAGTGTTCGATGCTTTAAATTGGGAAGTTGAAAAAAAAAAACTTGCTGATTTGAATTCTAAGGCATGCGAATGTTTAGTAGTTGGAAAACATAGAGTTCTCTTATTTAATAAACTGTTTATTAAAAGCAACATTAATCTTTATCCATCTTCTGAAAGCTTTCATGTTAAGACCTCATAAATCAACACCTGAATCCCACAACTCACCGCAATACTTTTTTTGATAGATTAGAAACTGCTTGAAACTTTTTGCTTGTATGTAGATAAATCTCAGGCGATGTTTGTTCTAAATGATTTTACTTATTCCTTATTTTTATTGCACAATACTGCCAATCTAGGGGAGCAGTACCCTTTTACAATTTGAAAAAGATCTTGTAATTTGTTGCAAATACAACTATCTTATAATAATTCTCTTCAAAATCTAAGCTTAACAAAAATAAAGTGCACAAATGATGTAAATGAAAATAAGAGAGAGATAAGGAAATGAAAAGGTATGACGATCTATGAAAGGAGTACATTTTAACAGAGCTTTCATTATCTTATTTAAAACATCAGTAACTGATTCATTAAATCTGATTGATTTCTTTTAAAGTATAGGCAGTAGCAGACGTAATCTGTGTTTTGTCCAAAACATCTGCGCACTGTAGCGAAAAACTCTATTGGAAGTAAAAAAGTTAGAACCGTGCGCAATTAACTAAGTTTTCATACTTTGCGAGTGACAGCGTTTTAAAAACTTACCTATCATACTTTCGGTCCGGCATTCCAAGTCTCGTATTTCATATCAGGACGGAATGAACATGAGTGGTCGTCGTTGTTCTGACTTTTCCAATATACATTCTGCTAAAGATATCGTCGGCAGCATAAGAAAACGCATTATTCATCTTGATTGATTTAATTTAATTTAAACAGACTGACTAAATTGTATAAACTTATTGATAAAGACCAAAGTTAATTGCGAAATGAAATTATTAGAAAGATTCGACAAAGCAAACTTAAGCACAGTACGAATAAATGCTTCTAAAAATGAAATCATTTTAAAAGAAACTGGCGCACCTGTTGCATTTATATTACAAATGGCGTTTGTTAGAGGGAATGTCCCTGAATATGTTCATCACAGGATGTCAAATTGACAGGAACAAACAAAAGAAAGCATTCGCCGTTGAAAACAATTTTATCTGCTCTACCGATCTATAATAAAAAACAATTTAGAGTAACTGTCTGTTGAACTTATTTTTATAGCTTGAATTAAACTAATAGAGGCAATTTTTAAACCACTTTTTGTAATGAAGAAGCAGTAGTTAATGATAAGGCAAGGGAGGGAATATACATTCATTTCAATTCAATAAAGTTGACAGCTTTCAATGCTGCGTTTATTTGTTCATAATCATTAAATTTATAGTAGAGCAATCCTCCACTCTGCAAACAGGAACTGTTTGTCTTATTTTCCACACATTTCAAATCAATATTTTTATAGACTTGAATTCAAAAGAACTAACTGAGGAATCCCCGCGTCCTGTGTGTCGTCGAATTTCTCGTTCTTTTTGCTCTTGTTTCTTCAATAAGAAATGCTACGTTAATTGTTAGATGAGAAATGTAAACATATGTACAAATATATGTCAAAAAAGAATTTCATTCTACTGAAGATTCTATTAAATAAGCATTGCTTAAAGATGGAATTCAGCAAAATATATAGGAATTATACCAAAATCTCTTGATTTTAATGAAGCAAATAAAGCCCATATTCTTCTGTTACGGAAGAGAAGAATGGGTGAGTTTTCGGATATGAGTTCTAATGAAACATATAAGTTTTAGAAAGTATAGGAATTTGATTGGCAGAAAATTGAGTCAGAGATTTTCAAAACTTTTCGGAAATTATCACTTCGCCTTTTATCAAAAGTAACTGAATTACAATCCCTTTGCTTATTCTTCATTTTTTATCGTTTTCATTGAGAACTCTCCAGTAAAACTTTTCATTCAGGGCACGTGTACTGAACACTACAAAATGTTCTTTTCAACAAATTCTCCATTTTTCTTCAGCAAACTATCAATCAAAAAAAAAATTTTTTTTTCATTCTGAGAGTTAATTTCCATAAAGCAATCAATTTCTTCTTTTTTCTTCTTCCCTCCCTCTTTGCAACATTCATAATTCTTGAAATTATTTTCACCTTAATTACCCTATTTCCAGTAATCTCAGTTCAAAACGGATGCGTTCACATGCGGTGGAACTCTGCCAGAATTTTTCTAGGCTTAAAGAAGACCGGAAGTAATTTGGAGTGTAAGATATAGCTAAGTAGCTAGCTAGATCAATCAGCATGTGAATGACAAAGCTCTGGGTTATTTCTCCAAACATGGCTACTTGGAGTCAGTACAGAACAGTGGAGTAAGGAAGGGTTGATCTGGGGTCACGTGGAGTAAGGGAGGGGTGATCTGGGGTCACGTGGAATAAGGAAGGGGTGATCTGGGTCACGTGAAGTAAGGGAGGGGTGATCTGGGGTCACGTGGAATAAGGAAGGGGTGATCTGGGGTCACGTGAAGTAAGGGAGGGGTGATCTGGGGTCACGTGGAATAAGGAAGGGGTGATCTGGGGTCACGTGGAGTAAGGGAGGAGTGATCTGGGGTCACGTGGAATAAGGAAGGGGTGATCTGGGGTCACGTGAAGTAAGGGAGGGGTGATCTGGGGTCACGTGGAATAAGGAAGGGGTGATCTGGGGTCACGTGGAGTAAGGGAGGAGTGATCTGGGGTCACGTGGAATAAGGAAGGGGTGATCTGGGGTCACGTGAAGTAAGGGAGGGGTGATCTGGGGTCACGTGGAATAAGGAAGGGGTGATCTGGGGTCACGTGGAGTAAGGGAGGAGTGATCTGGGGTCACGTGAAATGAGATGATAAACGCGAGTTCAGTTAATATTCTTTACTATTAAAGAAAAGAATCGTTGAAGACACTACTTTGTAGGAGTTCAATTAAAATCTATTGGACTTGAACCATTCATCCTCCACTTCTATATAATCAAAGGGAAAACATGTTACTGCTGATAGAAGTGATCCTAGCTGTTTCATTTAGAGTTGTTGATGGTTTGAAGAGTAATGACGGGGGAGTTGTCAGGGTGTGACCATGTTGCGTTCTGTGAAGTGCTTTTGAGTTGGGGATGCCCAAAGCTATTGCAGGATCGCCTGTGATCGCCATGTTTCGGCATCCACCTCCGCGACCGTCAAGTCAGGCATGTCATTTCTCTTTAGTTTTTTTTGCTTTCAATTTTTTTTAAATCTTTTTTTAAAAAAAAGTTTCGACTGTTTAACTGGTGCTAAAAGTTATTGGAAATAAACTTAAGTCGTTCGCTTAGGCAGAAGTAAATTTCGTTTTTTGTTTTTCGAAAGTAAACATCAGCTCATTTTATTTTCAGAATGACAGCAATTCGCTTAAACCACCCAAACCGCCAGATCGTCCACTGGTTCCATATATGAGATTCAGTCGGAAAATGTGGGCCAAAGTAAGGATGTTTGCCGAAAACTTTATGCTTGCTGATGTCAGATTATTTCTTTATGTTATATTCTGTCCCTTAATATCAGCTAAGTTTACTTCCTCTATCGTTTCTAAAGTCTCATGATAGGCAACCGGGAACTTATTTAGAAAAATATTTATTTAGGTGCGCGCCGAAAATCCAGATAGTCAGTTGTGGGATATTGGGAAGGTGATTGGTCAGATGTGGAGAGACGCGCCGGAATCGGAAAAAGCTATATATCATCAGGTTATTTGCTGCAGAGTTTTTCATCTCAAAGTCTTATTTCACCAACTGTAATGCATAATTTGAATTCGACACCCGGTTTCCGACTATTCAAACTTGGCTTACAAGTTTTTTTCTTGAAGGAATACGACATTGAACGGCAAGAGTATGAGAAGGCATTGAAAGCTTATCACAACTCGGCTGCTTATCAACAATATTTATCGGCAAAAAATAGAGCAAAAGTCATCGATAAATCAAATACAGTTGGCGGTGTAATTGCTGGTCAGATAAGTTGACTTGTTATTAGTTTTTTCTTTCTTTTCTTTTTAATGAGCTGTGCTTGAAGTTTTAAAATTTGCAGTTAAGGCGTAAAGTGCCAAGTACATTTTACAGCTAGTCGCGGCCGTTTGGATACAGGAGGCGTTGTTATTCAGCCAGTGGAGGATGAAGAACTCAGTGATCTCTCCTCTCGCCGAATCGCTGCTGTTAGGTATGTAGTTTCGAAACTTAACTGTTTATGGTGACTAACGGAAACTGGATGTCGAATTTGAATTTATGGTACCTGTCCTGTAGATAAAGAGAGCTGTTCAACGTAATATGTTCCCTATTTTTGTCATAGATTCGATCGAAATCATCGCCTCATAGCGGATCTCTTCAGTGGCAATGTTGTCACTGATACTCGAACAGTCCTTGCTCAGAATCGCATTGAGATGTTGAAGAAACAAGCGACTTCATTGGCTCTGCATCAAGTAAGTGTTTTCATTAGTGCGTATATCTTATCTTCAATTTAATTTAGTTATTCTTTATGGTAGCTTTTGCTAATTAGGGAAAAAGCTGTGGTATCCTGAAATACTATTATATCTGAGTTGTGAAAGCAAGATTTGTACCTCACGCTTTTTCTAAGGAATTGTTGATAACATAGCTGAATGGAATTTGTGAATCTAGTAGTAAAATCTTCAGAGCAAACTTGAAGAGGAATTGAAGAAACTGAGCGAAATTTTTCAAACCAAAAAGCGTTCAATGGAAATTGCATCGGAAGAGTTCGCAGCAAAACTGAAAAAAGTATGTGAAGAAAAACCGCAGGTGAGTCATTAAATGTTCCCTTATTGTCCTTCGTTTTGAATTTCTATTAAAACGTGCTGAAATGTTGTACATTTAGTTATTGTTGCGCTTATATTCGAAGATCGTAAATCAACTTGAGATGAATCTTTTCTTATCAAGTCTTATCAAAATTGTTTTAACAAAGCTAATTTGTCCTTCAATTTAAAACTGACTGATTTCGCAATTTTCCTTTCCATGTGCTTCAGTAGCATAATATTTTTAGTTATACTTTAGTTATTTACTACATTTATTAGTACTGTCTGCGGTAATACTCCCCTAAGGGAAATTGATTGTGTGTACCGTGTTTTGCATAGGAACACTCTTTGTAGCTCGACGAAGCAAAATATGCATCTATGGTCGATGATTGGTCGGAAAAGTTACTAAATGCATATGAAGATTACAAGACTAAGCAAGAAGCACTACGTGCAAAGCAAAGTAAGTTGTGATTGTAAAATATTGTTCGAAAACTTCAAGTAATCGAAGTGACAGGTTTAACAGTTACAAATAGGTCGTGCGAGTGGGTTTTTTCTCTTTATTTCTATAAATATTATTATTAATATATAATAAGTTCTATTAAATCAAATGTTGTCACTAAAACTATTTAATTAAATGCCACATATAGAAATTGAATGGGTCAAAATTTCATTTAGTTTTATCTTTTTTAGTGGTAGAACGAGAGCAGCTGGCAGAAGAAACGCCGATACTCTATCGTCTGACTGTAGGTGATTCATCCCCTTCACCTAAGAATAAAACAGCTGATGAAGTTCAATCACCAAAAGTAATAAGCACTGAGCCTCAACAGCAGGTGACTAATAATACTTTCACTTCTGCTGCTGATACCTGTATTTCATCTATTACTTCACCAAGTAATGCCGTAGATACGGGAACTGGAGAAGTCGAGAAGCTAGCACAAGATCAGCAGTACAAGCAGGCTAAAGAACCATCGACCGGTTCACCAACTTTAGAAGTGCCGGGAAAGATTTCTTGAGCTTGCTTTATTATAAAAATATAAATAATATATATATAAAGTAATTTCATCAAAAAAAAAAAAATATATACATAAAAAATATAAAAAAATAAAAAAAAGGAATAAAAGATATAAAAAGTAAGGTTAATCGTATAATGAAGTTTTTGCTCCGTAAAAGATATTTTTATGTTTGAAAAAGTTTTTTAATGTTTTAGTTGAGTAGCAAGATCAATGCGGAATATGTTTGCAAGAGATAAATGGTTTTGCAGAACTGCTTTAACTTACACTTTTTCTAAAAACGAATATGATTGGAGGACAAGCTTATACTTTCTGTTTCATTCTCATGATATATGTGAAAAATATGTTTAGATTTTCATGTATGGTATTATAAAAGTTTTAACTGATGTGTTCAAAAGTTAGTGTTGTTATTTTTTCGGTAAAACAGTTGAGTTTTTCTTAAAATTTCAAAAATTTATTCTTTTATGCTTTCTATATCTCTTTGAGTTAGATGCATCAATCCTTTTCTAATAGATATGACATGGCTGAGAAGTTTTGAACTTCGTGATGGTTCATACAATGAATAAAATCATTATAACTAGGGAGGAATTCTCATTTTATTAATGATCCAAGTTTTGTTGCGCAAAAGTTTTTTTTTTTTTTTTTTGACGAGTAAATGGAGGGGAGGAGAAATAAATGATTATCAGTGCTCGAAAACGAGTGTCACGAATTTGTAACGCCTTGGCTTTCATTTTTTCGAGAGTACCTGATATATGCAAAATGGGATCAGTGGATTCTTTAGTTGATGATTTTGTACGGCAAAATCCTGCGAGGAAATTTGTGTTAATTACGGTTAGTTTTTGGATTTGAACATGATGGTCATTATGCGATCTCAACAGAATTGATAAATTTGAAGTACCGTTGCTTCAGCACTACCAAGCAAATGACTTAACATTTTTTTGTATCCGTGTGCAATTCACTCCTGAAACACTGTTATAGAGTGGTGGTACTAGAGTACCATTAGAAAAGAAGATGGTTCGATTTATTGATAATTTTTCTATGGGAACACGAGGTGCTGCTAGTGCCGAGTGAGTCCTTCTAGTATATCTTATAAAGTAAACAAAAATGAAGTTTTCAAGAGGTTTTTGCTGTTGTTTTCCTTTTTCAACAATTTCAATTCAATCGTAAATATAGTCTCAATATTGCATGTGAGTAGCGCAGATTGTTTATCGTTGTAACTCAGTCATACTTAGTATATCAATAATGATATTCGGAATATTAGATCTTTATTCTCTTAAACTAGAGCTTTAACGAAAACAGTGTAAACAAAGTAGTTCGTTTCAGGTATTTTCTATTGAAAGGCTACGCTGTGATATTTTTTCATCGAGACAATTCTCTGAAACCCTTCAGGCGGAAGTTCTGTAACATATTTGATCATTTAGTTGTGAGTAACTCAGGAAGAGTCGAAGGCTAGTTAATCACTCGCTTTGCATTGTTTTTCTTATTAATGGAAATCATATTAGTATACAAAGTTCATGTCAGTATATAGACTTAGAGTTTGTTGCATGAATCCATGTCTTGTTTGATTATCTCCCTTTATTAGATGTTATATTACTGGAAATAATCCAATTTCAGAGTGGAAATAATGCTGAAATACTGATACCTGGTTTAAATATTTTCCAGAATAAAAAAGAATATAATTTTGAACCTTCCCCACAATTCACCGGATGTTAAAGATTGATTGTATTTGTATCCATGCTTTATTATTCAAAAAATTCTCATTTGAATATACCAAAGTACTTGAATGTCCCACTGATTGCAGTTCGAAATATGCCTGGCTTAGTAGAAGCGTTGACGTTGAACAGTGAACTTTCTGATCGACTTTTAATGCTGTCATTCGTCGATGTATCCGCATATTTGATGACCCTTGAAATGATCTGCTTACGTCTTCGATTTTTGAGTTCTTCTCTCCTGATTTATCTTGCTGCCGCTGTTTCGGATTTTTATGTATCCGAAGAAAATTTGGTACATATTTCTGATCTTTAAATTATTTACTTAAATCCATTACTAACTGATAAGGAGCGTCTCCTGCAGTGTTTAATATCGAAGAACGAATCCCGACATATGATTTCAGCCAGAGCACAAAATCCAGTCAAATCAAGAAAGTTTGCTATTGTCGCTCAACATTGTTCCAAAAATCTTACAGAAGCTAGTCAGAGATATTGTACCGGAAGCATTTGTTGTTTCGTTTAAGGTGGTTACTTTGTTCATTGATTTGTTTCATGAGAAGAACTTGCAACTTTTCCTTTCACTGTCCAGATGACTGGATATTGAACAGCAACCCACTTTGCATTTCAATGTACTATAGCTAGGTTTCTTTGATATCTTTCAACAAATCGAACACTTATCTACCTGTGGGAGTGGTTTTATATTAATTTAGCAACAGATCCTTAATTTGTATATACGACAGATTCTCCACCTCCGATTACTTAGTGTAAAATTTTTTGCATGTTTTATGGGTGTTTAATTTTTAGCTAGAAACCGATGAAACGATATTGGTTAGTAAGGCGCGTCAGGCCCTCCGGAATTATGGACACCAGGTAAATTCATACCACTAAAAACCCGAACTGATTTTAAAAAATTTGTTCTAGAAGGGAAAGTTTTTATTCCGGCTAATGTGATGTCTCATGAATCTACTGATTTTTACCCGTGTTATCCATTACTAGAATAAGTTTAAAAGGATTTGAAGCCATACACTTCGCTCCTAATTATTCAAAATACCAGAATCCTCCAGAAAGAGCATATAAGCAAAGAGGCAAAGATCTAAATGAAGGTCGAATTTCGGGCAAACTGGATCAATAAAACTATTACTATTCCTGAAGCAGGTTATAATTACATTTGGACACTTTCACTCATTGATATCATTAAAACAATAGGTTATTGCATCTTTTCCGTATTCATTTTTATTCATCAGTTAAAAGGAAGAGCATATTTATTGCAGTTAGTAATTGGAAATACACTGGATACACGGAAAGAGCGGGTAATATTTGTCAATAACGGAAACAAAGAAGAGACTATAAGCTTGAGCGAAGAACAAAAAGCCGCAGGTATTGAAATCGAACAGCCGATTGTTGATAAACTTGTTGAGATGCATGACAAATTACTTAGCACAAAATAACAAACAATAAGAATGATGAGTCTTATTTAGAAGATGGGATGAATAACTTAATTGTGCACGTTCTTTAATCTTATATAATCTTGATACTTTATATTTCTTGTTCTTTTTTTAAATAAAATTCTGTTTCTTAAAACTATAGCTTCAGACTGAGTTGTCGATACGTTTTGGTGGTCTCTTTATTTAAATATAACATAATAACAGAATATGTAATGACAACCTATATCTTGTCAAAAAAAAATCATAGAGAATAAGAGTTGCCACTAATAAATCTGCTCTGTTTTCTGTTCCTAACCTCCACGTTGTGCAGGGAGCGATGATGAGAAGAAAACAAGTTTGCTTTTTTAGAGTTTTTTTTTTTTTTTTTCAAAATCATCGCCCGAGTGTCTGAAAGAATTTTGTCGCGATGTTGTGAAGAGTTAGAAGAGTTATTAACACTTTCAAGATACATTTTTATTTGCGAAATGAAATGTGATTCACAAAAACTAAGCATGAATGTTAAAATCCTTCGAGGAGTTGCAGTCATCAAACAGGCACCGCAGTATCCTGAAAATAAAAAAGTGAAGAAAGAGTTCTGGAAGCACGGCAAGCACGACAAACTTCGAATTGTTAGCGTATTTTATATTTCATTCCTGTTAACCGCTTAAACAAAAAAAGTTGCAATGACCAATTTCCAGAGCATTTCTGCAAAGTTCATTTGTTCTCTGTTATTTATTTGTTGATTATAAGAATGTTAGAAGAAACCATATCAAACATAAGCAAAAAATTTCCCTCTTTTTCCTTCATACCTTGCTTCACGATTGCACAATTCATATAATTTAATATGAAGTGCAATGCCTAATAACACAGTCTATATTCAATGATTATACGTTGTAGACATTTGATGTCGCACACAATAGCATGCAAGAATGGGGAACTAAAATAGTTATTTCTATTTCTTGTACTCATTCTCCTCACTTCCATACTCGATTATTATATTCCATTATGTAAATATAGAGAATTTCCTCAAACTAGTTTAGTCTTCCAAAGCTATAGAGAAAGAATATGAAACTGTGCAGCTCTAAAGTGTTAAAAATTGGGAGTAGAAACTCTTTAACACATCTAGAATCACACTACACGGATAAAAGCATGCTAATGAAAACGGCAGTCGAATTTACCTGACAATGTTCAATCGCTGCCTGAAACTCGATCTGATACACTAGGTTCATGTTTCATATTTTATTTAGCCTAGCGCACCTAATTAAAGCATAAACCAAAATTAATACATCCCAACGAATTTGCGTACCACATAAATAATGAAGACTAACTTTGAGATCCCATAATGCGACTAAGCCATCTACTGCACACGTACTGAACTTCTGCATGCTGTCATTACGACCGCTGTGTGGTAGAATTTCTCTAAAGATTTGTAATTCGATTTAAATTTTTTACAAAAATACTAAATCATATTTCTTTACTTCAAATAAAATTAATGTGTGCAATTCGAGCGTTTTGAAGGCAATTTTCTGAAAAAAAAATGTCTTCAAAACGCTTCTGTGCTTTTTCCCGAATCAATTTCAATTTACATTTTGTATACTATATATTGAAACAAAAGTCTAGAAATCTTCACGTAATAGCATTCTGATGCATAGTCCTTAGACGTATGTCCACAGCTTCAATGGCAGCATTTCGATCAATATTACGGAACTTCTGCATTGCACTATTGATATTTGCTGACTTTTGCTCTGATGGGATGTCAAGTTTTATTACGAATTTAAGTTGATCGCCTGAGTACATAAATAGCATTGGAGAATAGTCATGACCCTAAAATGTAAGTTATATTGTTGACACGGTTTTAATTCTCAAAAGTAAAATGCAACAGAGAATGGAAAAACATACAGCTGCTATAAGACTATTTTCGGTGACCCACTGGACGGAAGTGAAAGGCAGGTAAACAGTACGCAGAATAATAGCTTCTTCTAAGGAACGATTGGTATCGATAATGGCAATAGTTGCGTCGTGAGCAACGTAAGATAATCGACAGCCAGATGGTGAAAAAGCAACATAATGAATCCATCCGGAACTCTTCGCCTGAACTATGTCAGAAAAGTAAAAAATGCTATGACATGTTCCTGTCGAAATTTGTCATTAAAGTGAAATGTGGTGTCAAAAACTAAAAATTTTATAAACGAACGACATAATATGAATCAAAAATTTCGTTATATTTTAAAATGTTACGAAATGCCCTTCACCCTGCAAATTCAAACCATACTTCACACATCAAAGCACCAAAAGGCATTTTGGTACCCCATGGATTTGGTGAAGGCTTTTCATCCACTTCCTTTACATAAGCAGAAAAGACACGAGCCTAAAATATTTAGATCAGTTTAGAATGATCCCGATCAATAAAACATAGGGAATAACAACTTTTGAACCAATTTCTAACGAACTCAAATAAACAATTTTACAAACATCAATGTTTGATTAATTTTCTAAGTTCAATCTTCTGCTCAGCATTACAAAAAACAAAATACCATAATAAGTCAGCAAACACAATGATAATTGGCAACAAATGGAAATCAGAAAAAGACTTTACAGTAATCGGAACTACCTTGAAGTCGCATGCACCGACAGCAAGCAAAACATTGTTGGGATGCCAATCAATGCAAGTAACCGTGGAACGAATAGGTTTCTTGATTTGTTTGCAAATCCACCAATCATTCTCCTTCTCATAATAGCAAACTGATACCAATTTAGCTCCGCTACCAACAGCAAATTTATTTTCTACAGGAAAATTGTTTTAAATTACTTAACATTTTTGTTGATCACCTTTTCCCTAGAGAACTAAAGAAGTTTTCAACAACCAACAGCTAGTAGACAAATGCAGAAAACCAAAAGATTTTAAACGGCTGATCAAAATCTGAGAAAAATAAACTTGATTTTGCGTTATAAGCTCTACAAATTCATCGACCAAATTCATGCAATGATGTCAGATCAACTTTAATTACAGATATCTTTGGTCTACGAATTTGATTTAGACAAATGATAACTCAAGGTTTCTGAAGAAAGTAATGTGAGAATGGTCCCAATTTCTTAAACTTACAACGATCATCAAAATATTAGAACTATGGAAAGACAAACCATATGGCGACCATCTCACACATGTTGCTGCTCTCTGCATTCGTACAACAACTAATTCGGGTTTCCAATGCTCTCCATCAAAGGTCCATACAAAAGCATTTTTATCCTAAATATTGAAAAAAGAAATTAATCAACTACGTTAAAGAAAAACACAGTGTGAAGTAAAAAGAATCTTTTCTTCCCAAAGTAAAAAGTTTATAGAGGAAAATTATAAAACATGACCTCTGTTATGTCGCTACCAATATACTGACAGTTGACTCCAATTTAGAAGTCTTAATAAATAGAAAATCACAGCAAATAAAATTGTTATTTTGATGATACGAATCACCTCACTGGGAAACGGCAAATGTAGGATTTACCTGTGCACATGAAACGATACGATTGGTTTTTGGTGCCCAGTCTAGACCAGTTATAGGTAAATCATGTTCAGCCAACAGTGCTGCCAACGTCCATCGCCCATTTCGCCATTGAAATATATGAATTTCGTTATTTGATGGTGAAACAGCAAGCACTATAAACAGTATGGCTTCAAAAAGTGAAAAACAACATTTAAAGATTAGAAAATATGCAAGTGAAACTCTAATGACTTTTCTAAAAAAAACAAAGCAAACATATTTTAAGAAATTATATTTCCAAAGGATAAAACGAATATAATGGAAGAGCCAGAATATGAAAAGACTTTGTTTATGATGCCAAGGTTTAATATAGTGTTGTGTTCAAAGACGGAGGGGATAGAAAAGAGAGGAGAGGGGAACGATGATCACAGACTCGATAAAAAGTCAATGTAAATTCCTATCTTTTCCAGCTTGGATAATCGATCCTTCCCTAACCCTTTAACGTTGCTGATGATCACCAATCTATGCACGAATGAAAAACAACAAACTTGTTCGATCTCGATTCCATGCATGGCACGATATCGGACCTATTCCTAGATTCCATTGCTGTACGGGAAACGTAGACATCCTTCACGCACAACTTCTCAAGCTAAGAATAGTCTGAACAAACACATCTTACGATAACATATATCGCGTACAGATAAATTATGTAAATGAGATAAACAAGTTATACATGAATTAAAGCTAATCTGAAGTATATATGCTGTCTCTTTTAAAGTGTATTAAAAAGGATTCAGAGTAATAACAGTATCAAACACCGGAACAACTACCGAATCAGCACGACTAATCCAATATGTCCTTTCCACGACCTGCAAAAAGAGATGGAAGGGAATGAGATCTGATTGGAAACACTGTTGTTCCGAGATCGAAAAGAGCAGAAAATAGTGCTTAAATATGGGAGACGACAGGAAACCCCGGCATTCATAAAGGAAACGAAACATGGCTCCTAAAGGGTTAGTGGTTAGAGAGTAAGATAGAGCACAACAGCCAAGAGTGAGTTACCTTCTCCCAACGAGGAGTACATTTGTCTTTATTCAAAAATCGAGAATTAGCCGTGTCTGAGCAGATTATTTTCTACACAAATCTAATATGATTAGCCTATCAGTAAGCTCCCGAACATCTCATCTTCGGTCTAAATATCATCGCCACTCATTACCCGAAGATTTAAATTTTTGGGCGACTGTCTTGGCTTAGGCCTGAAATTATTTTGGTTTAGCCCCTTTGAGTTCCAAGTCAGCCTACATACCCAGGCTTTCAGTTCAACTGTCTCGTTTCAGTGTGATTCGAAACTATTTTAACTTGAATAGCAGTTTAACTTCAATTTCATAAACATAGTAATTGAGAAGTCACGAGAGTTCGTAGCTGAAACTCATTGTTTAGAAGAAACTCTCTTTTCTTTTCATCTTCTATTCGACTCTTTCTTATTCGTGGCCATTTATTTTCCTTTCTAGCCAAGACAACTCTCTCATGTTGTGATAAAAATCATAAACTCAGAACAATGGTGAAAATCATAGACTTTGTGCAAAAACGATTATAAAACAAGTTGATTTCATGCAAAAATGTGGATAACATTTTAAAAAGCATATTTTTAATGGCACACGCAACAGATACTATTGATCATAAGTGACTTGAATAATCATACAGAATCATTTCGAATCCAGCAGTTTGTATACGGAACTCTTGTGTGGAAACAGACTTTAGTATGCAAAAACATATCTGTCGTAAACTAATTAATTCTCATAAAATACTTCAAGCTTTAAAAAGCTTGATGCCGAGCAAGAGTTGAGAGGAAGGGTAACATATTTCCAAATATTCCAGTCAATGAAGAATTTTTATCTACTAACATTTCATCTCTTTGCGGCCCAAAAAAGTTTAACAAAAAAAAAAAAAATATTCAAATGTAACATTCTGCGTCATACTAAATCCCGCTAGACATCTTTTCAGCGGTCCTTCGCTGCGCAGCTATTGCAGCCAAGCTTTTTTGCAGTTCTACCAGCACCGGTAATAGATTAATATTGTTTGAAACAATGTAAGCACGCAAAGTATCTATAGCTTGTGCAACCTGAAACTCTCAAAAATTTTTTATAGGCAAAACATTTCACCCTCCGCCTTTTTGAGAAGGCTAAAACTGTTCCAAGACTAGGAAGAAATAAAAAATGTCAGATTTATTTTGAAATTTCCTATCAATTTAATCCGATCTTTTCATTATGATCAAGTGAAAATTTTTGAAATGAATAGATCTAATGTATGAAATTAGTCAAACAGTTTAAAATTACCAATGCTTTTAGTATCAGTATTAAAATTTTACGCAATAGCGCTCAATAAAACATACCTCAATTTCATTTACACGATAACAACACGTTTCGAGTAATGCTTGAACTGATGATGCACCAATTTCAGAAGCATGAACTGTCGAAAGTAACAAATTTTGTTCTAAAACAGATAAAATTAATAAAAATTAATAATGGAAAGAGTTAAAAGAAATGGAAGTAAAAGTGGTTGGAGTGAATTTTTTGAACTCTAATTCTTATAGCCAAGATTTCCATTTCTTTAAATAGACTGAGATTATATTTTGGGAAGACTGTGGAACAAAATATAGTGGGCAATTATTATTTGAATAACGACTAAATGAAAGCTACAAAAATATGAAATCCTCGCATTTATCAAATATGATTGTTTAACTTCCAAAAGTTTTTTGATTACGAATCAAACTTCTTTGATAAAAGACTGACATTCCGCTTGTTCATTCGTCATTCGGCAGTATACTTAACTTCTAATTTTTTAATTGACTTTTCAATGAAAAGTCTATTTTTGAAAAAAAAAAAAAACCGGGAATATAGTAACGTAGAACACAAAAAACTCATACACCCGGGAATAGTTTTGTAAACATTCATATAATTTTAAGAGCGTGTTCTATAGATTTAGTAACGTAGCCTAAAATTATTGAAGAAAAGGACAATTAGAATAAAATACCTGGACTACGAAATTAGATTAACAGTGATTAACAGTTAGTTCTACTTCCAGGTTTTGGAATAAAATTGCAAAAATGAAACAAACCATTCACGGCTGATGGACCTGGTAAAAGTCGTTGTATATCTAATGGACTGGTTGTTCCAATTGCTACTGTCGCCTGAGTTGGACTTCCCACTACTTAAAAAATTACATAACTTATAAGAGATTTGGAAGAATTTACATTTTCGATAAATGAATATTATATTTATACTTGGAACAATCTTTCAAGAATATAAATAAGATATTCTTCGCACGTTTGCTCGTATACGTTATACCAGACTCACAAAGGTTATGTAGGTCACAAGTTAGTTTGAAAGTAGAATATTTTCGAAACTACTCTACACTAAGACTATAAATAAGCTTTCACGCTAACCTATACCGCTATCAGATCTATCAGCTGAAGCAAGAACAGCTGCATCTGCAGCATCCATCAAGAATTTATTTGCATCTAGCACAGTGGATAGCGAATTAGTATCTCGAGTGAGCTTTGGACTCGGTGTTGTTGACCGAGCTGAAAGAATCTGAATTTCAAGAAACGACCTGGATGCAAATAATCTTAAACAGCTTAGGTTGCTCGTATAAATTTTAAAAGGGTATTTCTGATTGCTTTTGTGCATGATCTTATTTTATTTGAAATAATCTATTTAAAAAAAAAACATATTTTGAAATAATCTAATTTTTTTTAAAAAAAGGAACAATCTCAAAAGTCACGTGGTAGCACTAGTTTAATGCTAGACATTAATTTGAGTTTTGTTATACAATAATTTGAAAGCAAAGATAAATTAGAGTGGATAAAAGAAAACAACTGAACTAGAAGAAAATAATCCATAAAACCACATTTAGAGAATTTGTGAAAAGAAAAAAATACAGATTTTTATTTCCAAGCCATCATTTACGGAGTTCGCATCCTCGGGATCTGCTTCGTAAATCACAGGTTTTCCAGTCATTGCCTTGAGATCAATGCAATGGCGCCTTTTGAATGAATCTAACCAACCCTCGGAAGCTTTGAAACTGTGTAGACCTGAAACAATTTCAGTACCCAACCTTCTTAAAATAAAAAAGCTAATAGAAAATTTTGTCAACAGAATAAAGATTTGAAGAGATTTAAAGGGTTAATAAAGACTTAATGATAATTAATAATAAATAATTATTAATATTAATGACGATAATATTAATAATAATAAATAAATAAAAATATTAACAAGCGGTTGTTTCCTTAAATTCTTTCAGATTAGTTTCTTCAGCAGCTAATAAGAAAAGTTCAAAATAGAAGCCAGAATTTCGCTGCTTATACAGTCCTTCAAGATGTCTAAACTTGCCTAATTCATGTGCTATTTTCAAAGCCTGTTCCTTCAACTGCCGACCATTTAGCCAAATTTTTTGATCCCGACACTGGCAAAAATAGTTCCACATTTGCATATTCAAACGCACGTAAACAGTGCGGCGACGTTTTAATGTGAATAGGTCAGACCAGTTGGTGCGAAATATCGAAATACGATTTGAAAGCACATCAGCTATCTATAAGAGAACACATCACCTTCTTATTTGTTTATGGATGATTTATCTAGTGATCGCACTTCTGCTAAGCGCACACTACATTTTGATAAAAACTTATACCTTAAGATAATAATATGTAACAAGTTTTCATTTAAGCTGATGAATTTTTCTCTAAATATTTTTTTCAAAATACCTGCAATTTGCTTACTCCATACTTTTCTTCGATTTCATGCGGTAACATTCCTGCATCAAAATCTACTAAAATCATATGTTTCTCTTCTTCGTTCAACTCTCTGTTGCTATTTGTTATTGTGCTGCAAAACTTCACTACATGTAGACCGCTAAGTTTGTACGGTATGCCATATTACTAATTTCTTTCAAAACTGAATATAAACGAAATTAAATACCTGCATTCCAACATTCCATTCTCCTCTAACAAATTTTCTGTTTCTTCGTTTAGATTCCCAATTCCTTTATTGGAACCATGAAGAGCTGCTGATGACTGGGTTGCAGCTAAACCTTAAAGTATTTACATTTCGTGAATTACAATCAACAGATAAACATTTTCTGAAATTTAATTTCAGATTAAGAAAATGAAGCGAACTGGGAGATTAGACTCAATTATTCCCATGTAAAGCTGACATGAGCAAAGTTGCGAAGAAACCGATGAACCGACAAACGGTTCTGTCTCATCTTTTCCCATTTGCTCTTCTTCATTACAAGTATATGGTTGTGCAACAATCGGAGAACTGACTGAAGAAGTTGACGAATTCAGAGTAAAATCATTCCGATTTGCAATTTCATACGTACTACTATCCTAAAACTTAATTAAATTATGTCCTTCGATTTCATGCATTCATAGTAATTGAAAAAAAGAGGGAAACTTTTAATCTTCTTAAATACGTGTTTGTACTTCCATACCGCAATGAAATTTATTAAAAATTTGCAAAATGAGACAAATTTAGTTCTTTATATTAAGGAAAGATTTTAAATTACTTACACTTCTCTCACCATCGTTTATTTCAGAATTAGGAGACATTTCAATGTCACTTTTCACAGAAGACACGAACCGTTTTGCAATCTGAAATTGAAATTAACTTCAAACTCACCATTCCAGTACAAAGTCATTAAATTTCTTTATTAAATCCCAGCAAAAAAATGAATGCACCTTATTCACAAACTAATTAAGGAAAAAATGGAAGGAATATTAAAAAAAAAAAAAAAAAAAAAAAAAGAAAGAATGGATTGGGACGGTTTTCAACCAAAAACTAGTGACATATTCAAACGGAAATAAAGTAGAAGTGATGTTCTCATACATCATGTAAATAGCAGTAACTTTTCAAAATACTCCAAACTTTAGAACTGTTCTTAAATTCTCAATTTACAAACAACACCTTAGTTTGAGGAGCATCAAAAAAGGACGTTCTGGAGCGTTTCCCCATCTTTGAGACCGATTTCTTCCTGCTCAACAAGGACTTACTCGGATGCTGAAGAACGAATTAATACTTAATTTCGGATGACTAAATCAACTTCAATCTTGAAGCAGCAAAATCATTTCCTGAAAGTTACTGAATAAATAAAAGATTTTAGCATTATTCAGAAAAAGCAAAGCAAAAAAAATAGTAAGAGTAATTAACATGTTTTGACTTTTCCAAACACACCGCTCTAGATGAATCATCATCAATCATAGCTATAACTGTAGTCTTTCCGGATTTCCGGTCTTCCGGACTGTCAGCTACTGGTCCTGCCAATTTCTGCTTCCCAATTTTTAGGACCTGAACGAAAAGACTACATTACAAACTCACTTCCGATACGAAGTTTTTCAAAACATTTTGTAAAAAGGACGATAAAACAGAATACTCTCATATGCCTCCTTCCTCACGTCCAGTTCCGTCCTTCATCGTTGTTGGAAAACAAATCCGACAGTCCATGATTTCTGATATTTCAGTATTTCAACAAAAATTTATAAAAAACGAGAGAAAGTGATCTTCTAAAAGAAAAAGAAAGAGAAATCCTGGTGGAATCCAATAGTGCAGTAACTGACTAATGCTACAGAAAATATAAATTGTAACGGCGACTCGGCTAAGGAACGGAACAAGAAAGTGCGCTGAGAAATTCACGCAGTGAGAGGGAAGGGTGAGGAAATAGGAAAGGGTTTTAGTCTTATGCAAATTTGATAACTTTACGCACATCTCAAGAAAAAGTGGATTAGTTTGCTCATGCTTCATTTAAAACCACTGCTTTCTCTCCTATCCCGCAATTTCTCGATTCCCAAAGAAAAATCATCCTTGTTCCTCATTTCCTGAGCTCCTTTTTCTCCTCACTTCTCTTCCTCCCTCTCTTTCTATCTCGTATTCTCAAAGAAAAACTTTATCATACGAAGATGACTTATATTAGTTTCTCCCTATCTATCAATTATTTATAAAATAGATCAAACAATAATAAAAAGTGACATATTAGATTTTAAGCAGCCAGAAATAAAGATCGGATGAAAACCTCAAAATAATTTGAATGATTACCGCATTTTTCCAGGTCATTTTATATCCCGTTTTGGATACAACGTTCGTTGTCTTAGCTGTTGACGCAGCAGCTGAGGATGATAATGGTGATGCCGAGTGTTTTCCGGGTCGCCGCATTCCTACCGAATTTTCAGCTCTAATCTACCATTCAAAATTGAGACACAAACTGGAACTTCTCTGGAAGTGTATGAAATTTTAATCTAAGTCTTACATTTTGAATAACAAATGTCATCTTAAACTATTTCTATGAGTATTGTCCTCTCATCGATAGAAGTACTCCTCCTCATAACCACTTAACGAAAGCGATGAGTTATCGTATTAACCTTTTTAATACCAAATATTCTTTTATTCCTCCGCCGATTAATTTAACACTGTCTAATCTATACCATCCTTAAGGTACAATCAGCTTATGTTGTTGTCTCGGAAGAAAACGCGGCGTCTTAACATCCATATGCAAAATACACACGTACAATGCAGACGTACACACGTGACTATTACCGGTAGCCGTAATATTACGAAGAAAGGCAGGGTGCGTCCCGTTGTTGAAATGTACATCCAATCCTCTGCAAAATAATTGAAAAGGGACGCTCAGAGAGAGAGGAAGGGTTAGGCAGGAAGAGGAAGAGAATCTCCCTTTTACTTCCTACTTTTCTCGACATCAAATACACTTCACTTTTTCTTGCCATCTCTGGATTTCGTAAACAACTTCAAATTTTCAAATATTCTTTGCCAGTCTGGCTCTGCTAGACAGGGTTCCTATAGGTCACGCCACAAGTTACATTCATTTTCGTCTCTCTTCTCTCACCCTCCCTCTCTCTTTTTCTCTAACAATTCTCCTTTCCTCTTCTCTAATTTTAACTCCTCATTTCCGTCTTCACCCTTTAAAAACATCCTCTTCTCTTCACTACCTCACCCTCCAATCCCTGTCTCTTTCTCCCTTCCTCTCTCTCTCTCCTCTCTTTCTCTCCCTGTTTGCTTCGACAATTCCAAAAAATTGCCACTGATTAAGCAGGTGAGCATTAGCAATGCCTTTCTCCAGATTCAAGGACTTCAATTTCTTCTTGCCATATTCTGTAATGTAAGCATTTAAGTTCATTAAATCTCAGTTTCATCTAACTGATGGAGAAAAGTGTCGAGTTGACATCGTAAGTTTTGCCATAAGACTTCGACTTTCTTGACCTGACTTTGTGGAATGTGCAAATTGAAATAAGGCACCCACTCCAGGCCACATTGTCCATACTTTATTCCCTTTCCCGGGGTATCTAAGATGTTAGATGACCTTTTGTGTTTTTAATAATATGATGATACTTTACCATTTGTCCTTTCCATTTCAATTTTAGAACGCTGTAGCCACAAGAAACTCTCATTATTTGAGAAGAAACAGTGTGTGGTGCGAAATCCTGGTAAAATTAATGAAATATGAACAATTTCGATGGGTCAAACAAAGCGTAAGGTACTAATTGACAGTGCACATTTCTGTATGTGATTCAATAAATATCATGGATGATCGCTGTGTAAGAGACTTCCCTGGACTACGTGACTATGTTTTTTTTTTCTTTCTCAAATCAAAGTTTTCATTAAGCCTGCACAGAGTACGGTTGACAGTAAAGACCTAGAGAGTAGCATTTAGAAAATGTCTTATTAAACCCTTATGCTTTGTTCTATTTGACATTACGCTATAGTCTAAAAACACAAACCTTTATAAATGACATGCATACCCGAAATCCATATTGTATGTTGAAATATAAAGTTTCCTTCAGTTTCGCTTCAAAAATCATTTATACAAGTCTAATTGAGCTCAATTGGTTACATTTACTTCGAGGAAATCCATACAAAAATTTTGTTCAGTGACAGGGAAGTAATGTGTTTTGAGGCCAATCACAAACTGTTGCTGCCGGATTCCATACCAAATTGCTGGGGCATTTCATCCTAATCCACCGACCTTGTGCGCATTGATAATATCGTCGACAGTCGGTCGGGTCAGCACTGTAGCCTGATGGGTCACTGCTTTCCTGAAATTTGATGAAATCTGTAAAATTTCGAAAATGAACTTTGGAAATGGAGAATTTCTGGTAATTAGGTAATCTAAGGCTAAACAATAGAATAAAAGGAAAATAGGCGGAAGAGAAAGAGAAGAAAATTCCTATGTGCTCTGAACCATTCAAGAAAATTTTTTTTCCCTTCGGTAGCCGCAAAGTGTTTACAAATGTGTTGGGATACTTGCTTATATTGTTTATATTGCATGGAAGAACAAGCATTTAGACATATTTGACCTACAGTGCACGACAGTCCCACAGCAATATTTCTGGATTCAAAGCTTTGTGAATCTGGTCGTTGACATCTGTTCCCAAGAGCAGCAGGCACGCATCGATTCGACGTACCATTGAATACCTTACCATCGGGACAGGTGCGCTGTTCGAAATAACCACCATCACCAACGCAGGAGTAGTAATTGGCGCAGTTGGTTTCATCAGCACGCACTTCACCATGCTCACAAGGTAGTAGCGAAGCGGTTGGTAGTTCATACGCTCTACTAGGACAAACATAATCCGCATGACAACACTTCAACTAAAATTTCGTTCTAATTCGAGAAATTAAAAATCAAAGTGAGATCATTAACATTGTGGCGTAGGATTCTGTTTTGAGCACTTTATCTTCCTAGAAGTCATGACAAAACTCACTCACCTCTGGATTAAAGAAGGTATTAGGTGGACAGAACTGCAGTTCATAATGTCCGCTGATACATTCGTAATAGGCAGTGCAATCACTGCCAGTTGGTGCTATATCATTAGGGTTGCATTCTAAAATGCAGACGCACATCTTCTAAATTTCTTATTTCATTTTCAACTATGTCGAAATAGGACACGAAATGAATATTAAAGAAGAAAATGAGAGGAGAAAAATAGTGAAAATAAGAAATGAAAATTAATTTCTTTTTAGCTATCTATGGGGGAAATTAATTTAAATCAAGAAAAAGGAGACTACTAGATGAAATATTACCCGTAGTTGTTTGGTCATAACGATCAGTGGAGTGCTGATTTTTTAGAATCATAAGGTCAGCAACATTTCGTGACTGAAAATGTTTTTTCAAGCAAAATAAAATTTCCAATGAAAAAGAACTATTCAAAATTTCTGGAAAAATGGAACTAGACAAGTAGGACAAAGAGGAAAGAAAGCAATGTATCTATAAATTAATAACTGACATGGTAACAAACTTGGATCTTGATTTATTTTACTAAAAAGAAATTAACTTACTCTTTGAAATGACTGCAAATTTTGACTATGATATTTTGACTTCTGGTTTGGATTGATTGTTGTTTGACATGTCCTCTCGCATTGAACATTCGTTATTACAAGAAATGCAAATAGTACAGTAACAGACATTTTTCACTTGCTTAAAACATGAAAAACGAGATGGCTGTAAAGTAACATCAATATATTACGTATTCAGAAGTTTTCTATGAAACAATCTTAAGTTTTAAGTAAAAGATGGAACAAAAATATTTCTTAACAGAAATAACATCACGGAATTTTTTTCGATTCACTTATTCGTTATGAAATTGGTTACCCTTTTTTTGGAAAAAAAAAAAAAAAGGACTAAAGAGATTGTGAAAACCTAAGATGAAACCTTTCCAAAGAGTCGATCGTCGTTGAATCTATTTCCAAATGCTATATGATTCTCAGTACACTTCTAAGTTTCGTTTTAATATTAAGTTATGATCTTCCATTAATAATTCATTAAGCCTAGAAAATCGATCTTGTCTTATTTAATTTGAAAAACAAAAATAAAAAAAGTATGAAATAGGGATTTCACAGTTTCTTTAAGCAGTTGAAGGCAGTGAGTAGTGTGGAAAATGTAGTGAATAAGCTGGATTGAACAGGCGGAAAAACAAATGCCATTTAGCATATCACATCTCGAAGTTTTTCATCAAAATTTAGTTTCAGATTGTTCGTGCGATGGCATCCACTGAATGTTACTAAGATACAATTGCACAAATGCAACAAATTCAAGCTTATTTGCCACAAATTTCATTGCAAATCAGTTCCTTCCCCTTTACGACGAGTTATTAGCGTACTGTAACCTTCTATTTGTATTAATTTAATTTTTTGTATTATTATTTGTATTAATTTAAGTAAAACTTTTAAACAGCTTTGCTGCACTACACCGTGAAACAATGTAATAGTGCTTCTTTCTTCATGGCTTTTTAATAATCTTTCCCAACTATCATTGCAATCATTCAAGAAACACGTTCGATTATTTCTGATATCTTTAAGAAAATTTTTATAACAGCGACGAAAACTATCTTTTGATTTGTTCTCTTCAGCACAACACAGTTCATAATGGATCATTCAATCATTGTCATTTACTATATCATGATAACTGATAGCTAATGTCTATATGTCTCTATTTGTCTAAAGACAAAGGTTATAAATTCAACCAATAGTGTAAATAATTGCTTCAAAAAATATAGGATGAAAAAAAGTAAGAGTTTACTGGTCATTAAAAATAGCAACAAGCATTATACATCATCTCAGAAAGCAATGTGATGATGATATTTTGATCACAATCATTGAATAATATGCAATGAGATGTTTTTATCATAAAGTAATGAATAACAACGTAACTTTAATGTAATATTCAAACTAAAAAATATAAACTTCATCCTCCGCAATGGCTTAGAAGTTCATTATTCTAAAGAAATTGTAATCGGTCATTTGGCCCTTAAATTATGTCCACAATGACTTTTTTAATGGTGATATTTAAAAAAAAAAAAAAAAAACGGTTTCAGGCAGAATAATATGCTTTGCAAAATGAATGATATTTCTTAACGAACTTTTTAAGCAGTTAACTTATCTGATATCAGAAGACATTAAACTTATTCATAGATAAATGAACAGCTTTCACTGTCTAATCTGTATGAATATGAGACTTTACATGGAAAACTTGCATCAAATTTCAAAAGCAAATAGCATTATTACCATATTCTTTTCTTTAAATATCATCGTTCCCCGGCATATCGAAACGACTAGCGAACTGCTCCACTTTTTCCCCTAACTTATTAATATCTGCTATAAATTGTTCATTCGAACTGGTAAACGCTATCAAGTCTTTTAGT